TAGAAACAAACTCTGTGCTGTTGGCGGAGACAGAGGGAGTGAGACCAGCCCTTTGGGCTACATGGGAGCTGGGTGAGGCCTGTAACTGCTGGCTTTGTCCCACTTCCCTGGCGACCTGCACGACACAGCAGAGCAGCCCTAATCCCCTGGGGAACATAAATCCATTGGCCTGAGAACCACACCCCCATACCCAACAGCAGCTATAGCAAGACCCGCCCAAGGAGAGTGTCTGAGCTCAGACACGCCTACCCCGCCGCCACCTAATGGTCTTTTTCTACCCACTCTGGTAGCCGAAGACAAAGGACATAATCTCTTGGAAGCTCTAGGGTCCTGCCCACCACCGTTCCTCCCTATACTACTGCAGCTAATGCTCTTTAAAGTGCCTCCTGGCAGGAGACCAACCAACACAAAACTAGTACAATAAACAAAACTACAACTAAGGACCCTCACAGAGTTCATCCATTTCACTTCCCTGCCACCTCCATCAGAGCAGGTGCTGGTATCCATGGCTGAGAGACCTGAGACATCATAGGACTCTGTGCAGGCACTACCCAGTACCAGCCCAGAGCCCAGTAACTCTGCTGGGTGACTAGATACAGAAGAGAAATAACAATCACTGCAGTTTGGCTCTTAGGAAGCCACACACATACGGCAACGGGGAGAGCACTACATCAAGAGACCACCCCATGGGCAGCAGCCCTTGAGCCCCAGATCTTCCCTCTACCATAGTCTACCAAATGAGAAGGAACCAGTAAAACAATTCTGGTAATATTTCAAAACAAGTTTCTTTAACGCCCCAGAAGATCACACTAGCTCACCAGCAATTGATCCAAACCAAAAAGAAATCCCTGAATTGCCAGAAAAAGAATTCAGAAGGTCAGTTACTAAGCTAGTCAAGGAGGCATCAGAGAAAGGTGAACTCCAATGTAATTAAATCAAAAAAAAGACACCAGGTATGAAGGGGAAAATCTTCAGTGAAATAGATATCAAAAACAGAAATTTCTGGAAATGAAGGACACACTTAGAGAAATGCAAAATACACTGGAATGTCTCAGCAATAGAAGTGAACAAGCAGAAGAAAGAATTTCAGAACTCGAACATCAGATTTTTGAATTAACCCAATCAAACAAAGACAAAGAAAAAAGAATTTAAAAGAATGAACAAAGCCTCCAAGAAGCTTGGGATTATATTAAACAACCAAACCTAAGAATAATTGGTGTTCCTGAAGAAGAGAAATCTAAAAGTTTGGAAGACATATTTGAGGGAATAAACAAAGAAAACTTCCCCAGCCTTGCTAGAGAGCTAGACATCTGAATACAAGAAGCTCAAAGAACACCTGGGAAATTCATCACAAAAAGATCATCCTAGGCACATAGTCATCAGGTTATCTAAAGTCAAGACAAAGGAAAGAATCTTAAGAGCTGTGAGGCAAAAGCACCGGGTAACCTATAAAGGAAAACATACCAGATTAACAGCAGATTCCTCAGCAGAAACCCTACAAGCTAGAAGAAATTGAGGCTCTACCTTCAGCCTCCTTAAACAAAAGAATTATCAGCCAAGAATTTTGTGTCCAGTGAAACTAAGCTTCATAAATCAAGGAGAGATACAGTCTTTTTCAGACAAACAAATGCTGAGAGAATTCACCACTACCAACCTGGCACTACAGGCACTGCTAAAAGGAGCTCTAAATATTGAAACAAATCCTTGAAATACACCAAAAGAGAACCTCCTTAAAGCGTAAATCTCACAGGACCTATAAAACAAAAGCACAAAAAAAAAAAAAAAAGCGTATTCAGGCAACAAACAGCACAACGAATACAATAGTACCTCACAACTCAATACTAATGTTGAATGTAAATGGCCTAAATGCTCCACTTAAAAGATAGAGAATGGCAGAATGGGTAAGAAGTCACCAGCCAAGTATCTGCTGTTCTGAAGAGACTCACCTAACAAATAGGACTCATATAAATCTATCGTAAAGGGGTGGAAAAAGGTATTCCATGAAAAGGGACACCAAAGTGAGCAGGAGTAGTTATTCTTTTTGTTTGTTTTGTCTTTTTGAGACAGAGTCTCACTCTGTTGCCCAGGCTGGAGTGCAACGGCGCAATCTTGGCTCACTGCAACCTCTACCTCCCAGGTTCAAGCGATTCTTGTGCCTCAGCCTCCCGAGCAGCTGAGATTACAGGTGAAGGCCTGTCTTATAGAGGAGTAGCTGTTCTTATATGAGAGAGAAAAACTTTAAAGAAACAGAAGTTAAAAAAGACAAAGAGGGACATTATGTAATGATAAAAGGACTTGTCCAACAGGAAAATATCACAATCATATATATATATACACACACACACATATACACACATGTACATATATATGTGTAC